TCCCATGGCCTTTTGGGGGGCCTCCCATGGCCTTCTTGGGCTTCTCTTGGGGGCCTTGTGAAGGCCTGCTGGGCCTCTTTTTGGCTCATGTGGGGTTTCCGTGGGCAGTCTTGGGGCTGTCCAGGCCGTCTAGAGGCTCTCTTGGGGGTCCCTGGGGCCGTCTTGGGGCGATACCGGATGCCTTCTTGGCTGTTTTGGACGCTGCTAAGACCCGAGCAGCGAATGTGCTGAAACGGTACGTTTCTCAAAAGCAATGAGGCAATGGAACGACGTTTGCATTCTGGGAGCCCTGTTGAGGGCCTCCTGGGCCGTCTTGGGGACCTCTGGAGGCCCTCTGGGTCCTCCTTGGAGCGCTCTTGTGTTGTCTTGGGTCTTTCGTCTGCCTCTCTGATCACCGCTCTGCTCGCTTCGGGGCCTTGTGAGGGCCTGTTGGGCCTCTTTTTGGCTCAGTTTGGGCCTGCTTGGGCAGTCTTGGGGCTGTCCAGGCCGTCTAGAGGCTCTCTTGGGGGTCTCTGGGGCCGTCTTGGGGCGATACCGGAGGGCTGATTGGCTGTTTTGGGCGCTGCTAAGGCCCGAACAGCGAATGTGCTGAAAATGCACGTTTCCCGTCGGGAACGAGGCGATATTTGCATTCTGGGAGCCCTGTTGAGGGCCTCCTGGGTCGTCTATGGGGCCTCTGGAGGCCATCTGGGTTCTTCTTGGAGCGCTCTTGTGCTGTCTTGGGTCTCTCTTCGGCCTCTCTGATCACCGCTCTGATCGCTTGGGGCCTGCTGGCAGAACCCGGCTAAGCGCCCCGGGAGGTCCGGGACGAGCCGGGGGACTTTTGGCAAGGATGTCTGGGGGGCCCAGAAACCCGCGACCCTGGTGGTCCAGTTTTTTTTGGGGGGGACGGGTTCCCCCCCTCCTTGGCTTGTAGACATATACGAAGACGATTATATGTATATATGGATATATATATATATATATTATATATATATATTTTATATATACACATGTTGGATCTTTGCGCTGCTAGCGATGACCCTGGGAGGGTTACTGTGCGCGTGCCCCTCGGTCGCAGAAAGTACCAGGCCACACACCTCGAATATCGGGTTATACCGAACCTCACGCGCCTCCCTTCTTCAGTGATCGTAGAACTGCGCCTTGTGTGCATCGCGATCTGGCGGGCCCGAGCCCGATCTATTCCGAACGCCCTTCGTTTTCACGCCTCCACCTGCTCTCCCTGACTGGCGTACAGTGTTCCCCCAGGTGTTCGGGCTGGGGCACTCCCTTGGCGCCAAGCTGCACGTGATCCGGCACTCCACTGGCGTGGAGGGAGCGCGGTCGGAGCCGCTGGCCGTGATGGCCTTCAACAACTTCGGCCTGTCCGACTCGCTTACCCTTGCCAAGGAGCCAGGGGGGGGAGGAAATCTTCGATGCCTCCCTCCAAGCAGCGCTTTCAGCCTTGGGTTTCTTATTGGGCTTCCGAACGAATTGGTCTGTCTGTCATTCTGCCTGGTGGCCTGCGAGGCGGTCCAAGTCGATGGGGCCAGACTCCCAGGCGTCGGGCGACAACGAGGACGACGACGACGACGACCACGACCACGACCACGACCATGACCACGACCACGACCACGACCACGACGACGACCATGACCACGACCACGACCACGACGAGGAGGAGGCGGATGAGGAGGAGGAGGAGGAGGAGGAGGAGGAGGAGGAGGGGGATGCGGACGACGACGACGACGACGACGACGACATCCACTGCTTCCTGTCCATAGGGGTGTCTCTTGCGCTGCTGTGTGGCGCAGGAGCGCTTCTCTTCTGGTCGCAGTGGAGACGGGCCCCGCTGCGTGCGGGCTTGCTGCGCGTGCTCTGCCCAGGGAGAAAATCTCGCGGCGCGCCCTGGGGGCCGCCCCTGGGCTCTCGTGGGCTCTGGTGGGTGTCCGCCGCACCGTTTGGTGGCCGGTTGGGCTCTCATTGGCCTCAGCGGGTGTGTTGTCGCACTTCCGCCCCTCGCCTCCTCCCTCCTCTCTTGCATGCGGGCCAATTCGCGACTCCGTGTCCCGGTCTCGCCTCGACGCGCGAGCGGATTGCCTCTGCCGCGCCGTGACGTAAAAGTGTTGGCCGCTTAGGTTTCCGCGGGTTCTGTGGCCGTGATTGCTGCACTTTCTAGTGGCCACGCGGGATTCTTCGGGGTTCTTGCCCTCCGCAGGCATTGGGCTCCTCGTCGGGCTCCACAGGCAGGCTCCCCCACTCGCATGGGGGTCCATTCAACGGGCTCTATGCACACAGGGGTACCTTATATTGGGTTCCACACGCAGTTTTCCGCACACGCACATGTTGTTAAACACATAGGGTGGTACGGACAGGGTTTTACGCACCGGGGTCCGCACATACATTGGATTCCGCGCGCTGGTATCATTTTCGGAATTCTTTACGCTTCGCGTATCCCCACCAGCCCATCTCACAGCAGCAACTCTTGCGAAGCATGCCGACAGTCGTGTTTTTCAGGCGTGTGTCCGCTTGGCCCCGCATATCTCCCCTGTTCCTCCTTCCTCCCGCCTCCTTGTACATCCTCCTTGTGGGGGGAGCGGGAGAAGGACGAGGCGGAGGAGGAGGGAGAGAAAGCGCTCCTCGTGATTTGAGTCGTTTGGGGTTTCTCGTCCTGGTGTGAGTCGTTCGGGCCCTTCTTCCTGGTGTGAGTCGTTCGGGCTCTTCGTGGTGTGAGTCGTTCGGGCTCTTCGTCCTGGTGTGAGTCGTTCGGGCTTCTCGTGGTGTGAGTTGTTCGGGCCCCTCATCCTGGTGTGAGTCGTTCGGGCCCCTCCTCCTGGTGTGACTCGTTCGGGCTCCTCGTGGTGTGAGTCGTTCGGGGCCCGCGTCGTGGTGTGAGTCGTTCGGGCTCCTCGTGGTGTGAGTCGTTCGGGCGCCTCGTCCTGGTGTGAGTCGTTCGGGCCCCTCCTTGTGGTGTGAGTCGTTCGGGCTCTTCGTGGTGTGAGTCGTTCGGGCCCCTCGTCCTGGTGTGAGTCGTTCGGGCTCCTCGTGGGGCCTCTTGGGGGCCTCTGGGAGCCTCTTGGGGCCTCTTGGGGGCCTCTTGGGGGCCTCTTGGGGGCCTCTTGGGGGCCTCTTCTTGGGGCCTCTTGGGGGCCTCTTGGGGGCCTCTTGGGGGCCTCTTGGGGCCTCTTGGGGGCCTCTTGGGGACCTCTTGGAGGCCTCTTGGGAGCCTCCTGGGGGCCTCTTGGGGCCATCTTGGGGCCTCTTGCGACCTCCTCAGAAGCGCAAATGAGCGCTGCCCCCTGAGAAGGACAAAATGAGCCCAAAACCTTCGTAAAATCAATGATTTTGCTAGGAAGGAAGATGAGCGCGGCCCCCTCAGGACGCCAAAATGGGGCCAAAACCGTAGTAAAATCAATGATTTTGGCTTCAAAGAAGAGCAGAGGGGCCAAACTCGGCCCCCCCGTCGGGGCCACAATCCTCGTGAGGGTCGTCGTTTTTTGGCCCTCCCAGGAGTCGAAAAAGACCCCCCCGGCGACCCGCGGGACTCCCTCTCCAGGCCCAGGGGGAGGGGGTAGGGGGAGGGGTAAACCCCTCCCCGAAGGGGAAGAGGGGGGGTTGAGAACAGAGCGGGCTCTCTAAACCACTCACGCCCAAAGGGCTGGTGGGATTCTTTGTAGCTTTCGGGCGAGTAGCCCATCTTTCTTGTCTTGCTCCCCTCCGTGCAGAGTTCCCTGGTCAGCGGCTCAGCGCCCGCTTGTCGCGCTGGTCGGCGAGCTGCGCCGTGCTGGTGATGATGATGCAGGTGATGATGGTCGCGTTGATGGTTAGAATTTGTATGATGAGCTGGATGCTAAATCACGAGGAGGGCGGTGACGATGGCGATGATGATGGCGATGATGGCCATGGCGATGGTGATGGTGATCATGGCGATGGCGACGGCGATGACGATGGCGATGATGATGATGGTGGTGATTACGATGACGATGCCGAGGTCGATGATGACGACGACGATGACGATGACGACGATGATGCTGCTGATGATGATGCTAATGCAGATGCAGCTGCTGATAATGCTGCTGATGATGATGATTTTGCTGCTTCTGCTGCTGCTGATGCTGCTGCTGATGATGATGCTGCTGATGATGATGATTCTGATGACGATGCTGCTGCTGCTGCTGCTGATGATGATGATGATGATGATGATGTTGGTGATGATGATGATGATGATGATGATGATGATGATGATGATGATGATGATGATGATGATGATGATAATGATGATGATGATGATGATGATGATGATGATGATGATGATGATGATGATGATGCTGGTGACGTTGATGGCGACGATGGGATGCTTGTGACGACTGTGATGAGTGTGATGATTCTGATCGTAATGTTTGTGATGATGACGTGGCGACGACGAGGGGTTGGCCCGCCGTGCACGAAGGAGGCGCTGCAGGCCTTCCAGGGCGGCAGTGTGTCCCCGACGGTTGACGCGGTGTGGAACATGCTGCAGCCGCTCGCGCAGCAGGCAGCCAAGAACGCGGGGATGGAGTTCACGCCAGACCCGGGTGAGATGGAGGACGCTTCTGCTCGGAAGTTCGATCGGGACGGTCGAAATGGGTACGGAAAGAATGGGTATGATGCCCAACAGCAGTTCCCGTTCATTTTGAACGGGACTCGCTGTCTGCGCCGCCGCGGACGCTGTTCATTGAAGACAAAAACGGCCTGCCCAACAGCGGCCGCAGTCGGTTTTGGACAACATTTGTTGTTGGGCACCGTACCCATTTTTTCAGTACCCATCTCGGGCGTCCAAATTCTAGGCCGATTTTGTCATGTTTCGGGCCCCAGGGCTATCATATATCAATCCGGCTTCAAACCAGCAGCCAGGCGGACAGCCTAGCGCGGCCACTGCTCGCGGCGGACCAGGTGGCTCCTACTAGGGGTCACGACGGCACATTGGTTTGCAGATCAACGACGGCAGCGCGACTGCCCGTGCGAGCTGTCCATTAGCTCAGCCGTGCTGCCGCCAGCCACGAGTTTCACCACACACAGTTTCACTACATGATGCCCTTTGGCCGCCGAGTGGGGCCCGTTATGTACCTTGCAAGCCAACAGAATTTGTCCCTCAACACGGATGGCCGTATCATTTCAAACATTCACAACCATGCATACCTAGCGATGTATGCTCCTTCGCTTCTTGGAACGTCGAAGGCTTGGGTATCGACACGGACTCGACCAAGCTTAAACAGATAACGGAAATCATGAAGCAACGAAGGATCGATGTGATGTACATGCAGGAGACACACGTGCTTGGGGCACCCTACTTTGTGCAGGACGGATGCTTGATGATTCTTTCTGGTGGTCCGACTGGGAAGCGAGATTATGCAGGAGTTGGTTTTGTGGTCGCCCCGTGGCTGCGGCATTCCGTCATGGGTTTCGCGCAGCTCGCAGCCGCACTGCTACGCTGAAGCTGCGTGTGCCGGGAGGGTCTCTCGCTCTGGTGACAGCGTATGCACCGCAATCAGCTCTTGAGTTCGACGTCCGACACTCGTTCTTCACGGATTTGCATGCCGCCGTGGTCCGCTGCAAACCACGTGGTCCAGTCATCGTGTTCGGCGATATGAACGCCCGTTTTCCGCCGAACTTCTTCGAAGAGACGGCGGTTGTCGGTCCGCGCACCTTCGGTGACCCGGCGTGCGCCCCCGACGCCACGGGCAATCAGCACTTGTTGGTGGAGCAGTGCATCACGTTGAACATGGTGGTTGCGAACACTTTCTTGGACAGACCTCTGGTTGAAAAGGTGACGCATTACGACCTTGGCGCGGACCCGACGAGCGAAATAGCGTGCAAGAAGTTCGCTGATATTGACCATCTCATCATTGACGAGCGCTGGCAACACGTTGTTCGATCGGTGGAGTCTGACCGTTCTCTTGCATTCTCCTCGCATCATGTTCTCGTGCAGGCAACTCTTGACGTAGACATCCCCAAATCGGGGCCGACTGGCCGCGCTCCGATATTGGACCCGGCATCTCTGCAACAGACGTCTGTGGCTGAACAGTTTGTTGGCTCATTTGTCGAGGCGGCGGCGGGGCCCGCCCCGCCAGGCGTCGACGACCGTGCGCAACACGTTGTCCGATGTCTCGAATCAGCAGCCGAACAGTGTCTGGACGGCCGGCAGGCGCAAGCAAAAAGGCCTTGGATCCGCAGAGGAACGCCGGACCTGATTGAGCTGCGACACCAAGCCCGGACATCGCTCCAGTTCGCTTTGGGACAGTAGCTCAACCGTCAGGCTCGACAGTCTGCCCGAAAAGACAGAGCGGCCTGGTTGGATGATATGCTTGCAGACGGGAGCTTGGAAAGCATCCGGCGGTTCAAGAAGAGATGGGTGAAGCCCTGAGGAAGACTGAGAGACGCCAAGGGCGAACTGGTGGACAGCGCGCACAGAGCGGAGACCATGGCAACTTACCTCGCAGATGTGCAGTGGCCCCCGCCCCCTCCCTCGCGGCCCATCCCGCGGGGACAGAGGTCTTCGCGGGATCTTGACTTGTCGGCGGAGGATTCCACTGCAACCGAGCTGCGCGAGGTGCTCGGCAAGCTCCGAACAGGGAAAGCAGCCGGACCGGGCGACGTCCCGCCAGACTTCAGGAAAGTTCTTCGCGGAAGCGATGATGCTCGTTCCGTTCTTTTGGATCTGCTGAACCACTGCTGGCGGCAGAAGAAGATGCCGCAGACGTGGCGGCACAGCCGGGCCAACGCAATCTACAAGAAAGGGGGCGAGTCTTTGCCGGCCAACTACCGGACCATCTCGCTGCTGGCGGTTAGCTACAACATCTCGGCAGCGCTTCTGCTGGCCAGAATCACATATGGTGGCGCCGAGGAGCGCCTTCGGCCGAGTCAATTTGGGTTTCGAAGAAAGCGGAGCGCCAGGGATGCCGCCTTCATTATGCACAGGCACATCGAGCAGGCGTGGGCCGGGAAAAACAGCAAACTTTCCGACGTCTTGCTGGATTGGTCCAAGGCGTTCGACCAGGTGGACCCCTCCGCGCTGCTGGTCGCCCTTGACCGGTTTGGCTTGACCGACCCGTGCACGGGAGGGTGTGCTGCACCATCGATGTTGTGCGTGCTGGGTTTATTCAGGTCTCCGTCATCGTCGTCGTCCTCCTCTTCCTCCTCCTCCTCGTTCTCTTCGGTCCGTAGCCATTTTGGCCCAAGCCCTTCAGCAGCGAACGACAGTCCCGTTGTTCAAGCTGGATTGGCATGTTCCTTCCGGCTTGAAGTTGCAGGGCCCACTCGTTGTGCTTGAGGAGATGGTGCGGGAGGGCGCGTGTGATGCTTGCCCAGCTTCTGATCGTCATGACATTCATCGCTCAGCTGCCGATCGCAAGCGTCGCCGTGCCTGTGCGCGCACATCGGCCGACAGGGCGATCACCCAGCTGTCTCAGGATGTGACCGCCTCAACGGCATGTTGACTAAACTCTCGCAGGCGTTTTGTGTGCTTGGTCTGGTGGACGAGGTGGTAAACAGGCTGTTGGCGGCGGCGCCTGCTTTGGCTGCTTTGTTGGCGGGGCAGACGCCAGACGACCTCGACGTCTGCAAGCGCGACACGGCCATGCATTCGGCCGCCAAACTCGATTGCTTCACGGCCGCCCCATGTAGTTCACCTTCGACGTGTGCAGCGCAGTCGGAGGCTCGGCGAGCGGTCTGGACCTGCTGGTCCAGACGGTGTGCGCCTGGCTGGTGTTGACGCAGTTGGTGTTCGGCTGCAGGTCGAGGGCTCCAGCGCCTCCAACGTGCACTTCTCCGACTTGGGGGCTGCAGCGGTGGTTCCTCCTCCTCCGCCTCCCCGTCAGAGAGGGACAGCGAGGAGGGTTTCGGGTTTTGCCAGGAGGAAGCCATGGGCGAACAAAGGATTTTCAACGTGGCCCCCTCCCCACTGTTGGTGGCCCTGTGGGTAGACTTCGTCCTGTTTTCGGCGACTGGGACGACGACGACGACGACGTGTTGACCACTCGCGCGGACACCTACCGCAGCTCGGGACTCATAGGTGTTCGGAGGCCTTCCACGCGGCAGTGCGGCAGCCGTACGCGGTGTGTGCAGTTCCGTGGCGCGTCGTCCACTTTTGCTGACGGTATCAGTATCTGAAGTACACGGCGCGGGTTGCAAGCACATGTGATGGCAACACTGTTCGTGTGTCTTGAACGTGTCCTTCACGTCATTACTGTTCCTCTTTGTGGTGGCCGTGACCGTCAAATGCTGCTACGTGTCGAGCAAGAGTTTCCGCGCACGGCGTGGCGCGGTGTTGGAGTGGTTGATTGCAAAAATCCCCGCCCTCTTCGTCCTCCTTACCCACTTCGTCCTTCTCAGCTTCCACATCCTGCCCCTTGGGGGGGACGGACTGGAGGGAGGGGGGTGGGGAGTGGAAGCAAGGGGGGCGACAGAGGTCAATAGTGCGGAGCTGAAGGGAAGTGGGGGGGTGTGAGGAACCGCAACCATGGATTGAGGCGCCTAGCGACGGATCCTTTCCCATGCCAGAGCCGACGCACACCGTCCCTGCAGTAGAGGGGATACCGGCCTCACGTTTTGGTGGGGGGGGGGGGGGTGCTTCATTCTTGCGCCCACGCGCCAGATCCACGGATCCGTGATCCTTGTGGGCGTGTGCCCGACGGTGGGGTGGGGGGCGGGAGTGGGGTCGGCGGATTGAAGGGGACGCAGGAGGGACGGGAGGCGGGAAGGGGGGGCGGTGCGTGGAGGAGCAAACTGAGGAGGGCGGGGTCAGGGCATGCCGGCGGCGCCTCCCCGAGGACATGATCAGGGCGGGGTACGCGGCCAAGAGCACGAGGACATTCGCCTCCCCGCCGCTACTTGGGTGAGTGGTAATCGGGAGGGGGGGGGAAATGCCGAAAAAAAGAAAACGTCATCTTTGGCACACTTGAGGAGCCCTTCAGGGGCTCTTGGTTGCATGAGGGCCCTTTCGGGACACTCTCGAGCCACTTTTTGTTCCACGGGGGCAGTTTAAAAAGGGTCACTTTTGGGACATGTCCATGCGTTGGGACTTTCGGTGGCTGCCTCCTGAGGTTCCATGTTAACATCTCCAGCAGCAGTCCAGTCGTAACCAGCATGATTCAGACGCTCCAGATGCTGCACATTTCACGCACGATGCTGGTGTTACTCTCAGACCACCCTCCGTTCACATAAAGGTAACTGGACACTAAGACGACGCCACCTGGAATACCCCATTGAGCTTGGGCTGGTAAGGCCCGGCCTCTGGCCAGGGATGTGAAGCTCACCACCACGCTAGACCTGCCTGTGTGCCATTCGCCTTGCCCGACAAAGTGGCAGGAGCCCAAGCTTCCCGCCAACCCAAGTATTGTACACGGCGCTGTGCGTCGTCTAGCCTGTGCTCTGGAATGTCATGCTTCTGAACAGCAACGACCGTGTCATTATTTTCGGGGAGAAAGCTCGAACAGCTTTCTTCTCCGAACACTTGACGCTGGTGATCTTGCCTCTCGCTGCTGTGCTCTCGTCACTACCTACACTCCCATGCTCGGTGTGCTGGGGTCTGGGCCACGGTCGCTCCACTGCTCAGGGCTGCCTCACGTTAGCTGGCGTCCCAAGCAGGAGGCTGGATCGGGGCCGGGCCTGCGCAACGCCCGCGCGCGCGTCCGCTGCCAGGCTCTTCTGTCCGCTACCGTACGATGGGGCCCCGGTCGGACGACGACGAACCGGAGGAGGAGGAGGAGGAGGAGGAGGAGGAGGAGGAGGAGGAGGAGGAGGGCGAGGAGGAGGAGGGGGGCGAGGAGGAGGAGGAGGAGGAGGAGGAAGAGTATGTTGAGGAGTAAGAGGAGGAGGAGGAGGAGGAGGAGGAGGAGGAGGAGGAGGAGGGAGGAGGAGGAGGAGGAGGAGGAGGAGGAGCAGGAGGGGAGGAGGAGGAGGGCGAGGAGGTGGAGGAGGGCGAGGAGGAGGAGGAGGAGGAGTAGGAAGAGTAGTGTGGGAGTAAGAGGAGGAGGAGGAGGAGGAGGAGGAGGAGGAGGATGAGGAGGAGGAGGAGGAGGAGGAGGAGAGGAGGAGGAGGAGGAGGAGGCGAAGGAGGTGGAGGAGGAGGAGAAGGATCCCCCCTCTGCAGCTGCTGCCGCCCACTCTCCGGAAGCGAGAGCGCGAAGGATCATCGGCTTCGGCATAGACCAGCTGGACTGCGGCGCGGACCTCTCCGACGCGGCCTCCGAGACGGGTAGCGGGCCCATCGTGTGCAGGCGCCTTCCCCGAGCGTCCAGAGCAGCCAGGATGTGGAACGAAGGGGAGGAGGGAGGAGGGGACGAGGGATGAGTGGGATGATGATGATGATGATGATGATGATGATGATGATGATGATGATGGTGATGGTGATGATGGTGATGATGATGATGATGATGATGATGAACATGATGATGATGATGATGATGATGATGATGATGATGATGATGATGGTGGTGGTGGTGATCATGATGATGGTGATGATGCTAATGATGATGACGATGATACTGATGATGATGCTGATGATGCGTAGTAATGTTGATGAGGACAATGATGATTCTGCGGATGATGGCTGCTTTGATCCTCACGACGACACCGACGACGTCCATGATGCTGCTGATGATGCTTATGATAATGCTGCTGCTGATGCTGATTGTGATGCTGATGCTTCCGATGATTACCATGATGATCGTGGTGATGATGGTAATGGTAATAACGGTGATGATGCCGATGATGCTGATGAAAGTGTCGGTGTTGGTGATTCTGGGGATGATAATGCTGATGATGATGCTGACGTTGATGATGCTGCTGCTGATGATGCTGATGATGATGAGGAGGAGGAGGGCGAGGAGGAGAAGGAGGATGATGATGCTGATGATGATGATGCTGATGATTACGATGCTGTCTGTGATGATGATTCTGCTGATGCTGCTGATGATGATGCTGCTGCTGATGATGATGCGGATGCTGATGATGCTGATGATGCTGCTGCTGCTGATGTTGATGAGGATGATGCTGCTGCTGATGATGATGATGGTGAGGATGATGCTGATGGTGATGATGATGATGATGATGATGATGAGGATGATGCTGCTGATGATGATGATGATGGTGATGATGATGATGATGATGATGATGATGATGATGATGATGATGATGATGATGATGATGATGATGATGATGATGATGATGATGATGATGATGATGTTTTGTGGCCCCATGGGAGCTCCACCGAATGCCCCAGTGGCAGCGCCCGCATGGCGCCACCGCACTCGTTTCGGCACACCCCTCACGTTTCGAGCCCATAGGAGCTGCACCGAAGGCTCCAGTGTCAGCGCCCGCATGGCGCCACCGCGCCCGTTTCAGTCAATGCACCCCTTTCGCACCACCATCCTCCTGCCCTTACTTCTCCTTTGCCTTGCGTGCGCTGTCCGATGTACTGATTGCTTCTCTCCCGCAGCTACACCTTTGGCTCTAGGGAAACGGAAAAGGAGCGAGCCTACGTCGCGCGTGCGTGCGTCGGCCGGCGGGCCGGCCTCCTCCCTTCAGTGTTACCCTATTGTATGCTTGACTCCGAGAGCCTTGGCGCAGAACACGCAGCGCATCTCGCGTTGCATGGACAGAGCGAGGATGTGAGTGACTTGCAACCGGAAGGGGACAGTTCTCATTCGATTGAAAAGAACGAAGAATATGCTCGATTCCACACCTCGCTTGGTCCATCGCATGATCTCGGTTCTCTCACCGATGGATGTGTCGAGCTCGCCTCAGGAGCAGCTCTGTTAGAGAGCGCAACAGTTGACCATGTAACGGTTGAGGCAATTCAGAAGCCAATTCTTGATTCGGATGATGATTTCGAAAACGGAGGAGGCAAAGACAGAGGTGGATGCTCGCCGGCGCAGCCGATGTCGAGCTCCCCCGATGTCATGCGCGCAATGAGGAACGCACGAGAATCTACGGGCATGACTCCCCAACCAATGGCAAAGAAACCGAAGGGTGAGAACGATTTTTAATTCCTCACCTTTATTGCAAGGTTTCCACCGACCAGACTTCTCATTACCGTGGACTAACAGGGACAGAGTACCAGAACTCGACGAGCTAGTAATGCAGAGCGAAAGAGATGATTTAGCACAGAATCGTGACGTTGATTTCATCAATATGGGTGTGAGAACAAGAGAACAACACGCGCCTACCTCCAGCAGCGAACGGGGGCGCTCCAGTAAGGCCACCAGGGCCGGACGTTCCAGTTCTAGGGGGTTCGACGCCCTTGGATCACCACGGATGTCATCGAATAGAATCGCCAGCAGCTTCTCGATGCGGGGGGGTAGCTGGAACGCCGGGTCCACGCGCCCGACTCGGGCGGAGAATCGATGCCCAGGGGAAGCGCGCAAACTGGGGGGTCCATGTCGGAGACCAGTGTGTTCACAATATTCGAATGTTTGTCCTAAGTGTAGCCTAGCATGGCTTTGTGATGATTGTGTCGCGATGGAAGAGCACAGTTGCCGTCGTATCGCCATTCAGGAGTGGGCGGGGAGAAAATAGGCAGGATCGAGAACACTTGAGGCCTGCGAGTGCGCAAATTCAACAGTTCATCCTAGAGGCACGGGTAGATAAGAAGGCCGCCGAAGAGGCCAAACAGATGCTTGCAGTTTCTGAGGCAGAGAGGTGGGCAATTGCACAAAAGGTGGAATATGGGAAACGTGTCATTGTGGAAGATGCGCAGAAACGGATACCGCAGGCTGAGGCCAGTGTAGCAGGAGTAGCAGACGAAGCCCAGCGGCGCCTTTCCCAAGAGAAGAATGAAAGGCTGAGAATCCAGAGTGTAGCCAAACAACTGGTGTTAGAATCTCAGCAGAAGGCTGAGAGGGAGAAAGCTGAATATAGAGAAATGGCTGATGCAGCCAGGAGGGAACGAGAGAAAGACGCCCAATAACAAGCGGCGCGAGAAAATCAGGAGCTCCGCAATCAACTCTCGAAGCTGCTAGACTCGCTGAATGGGCGCGCAGATGAACTGATGAGAAACAATGTTCTTGCCACTCGGGCCGTGAGTGAGGGAAACAGGAGGTTACGGTCTGACCTGGGGCAACATCGGGTGGGCAAAGACTCGCGGGATATGGTTCGGCAGCCCGTGACATAATCTTTGACGAGAGTAGGGTGCACGACTACGGCTTCGCCGGCAGAAGTGGACCCCGCGGAAAAGGTCGGGCCAACACCGGCACGGCCGGCGCATGTTGAGCCGCTTCCGCATCCGATCGCTGCTCGCCCTATTCGGAAGCCTGGCGCCGCGCGAGCTCGAACGCGAACAGGCACTCCGAGTCAGATCTGTCACCATTGCATCGGATCTTCAATCGAAGTATGCAAGGGTTGTTTGAAGCGCGCATGTAGGGATCATCTGGATATGGGCGCCGAACGGTGTGATTGGTGCGCCTCGAAGATAGTTTGGACAACAGGATGATCGCGAGGAAAGGGAAAACCTCGAGGCATACCTGATATTCAGCGGGCCAACAGCGATCTTGATGAAATGGCACCGAGACACTCGGCTTCTCCCGGGGATGTTTGACCCGAGCGCCAGACGAGGCCAGACGAGCAATCTTGCTGATTTTATGGGCATGCCAGTGTTAAATTCCGAAAAGTCAGATCTTGGTACGATGCCAATGTTGACCGCTCTGTCTATACCAACGCTTCCTGTCGCAAAATCGCATTCCATTCCTGGGCCGGCTGTCGAGAAGTCTCTTGGGGCGAGCGAAGGTTCGATGCGGGGGTGTGCCCAAGGGGCAAATCCTGGGAATGCCCCTTTCAATGCCAAGATATCAGAGCTTCCTGACAACCTTGACTTGCCTGGGCACCTTCCCTTCACCATCGGCTCAGTCGTGACTGGTGAAGGAAGTGGTGGCCTGGGAGGGCGCGACGACGATCAGAGAGGCGATCAGAGTGCAGCCCCCGGCGCCGGCATGATCGCTGCGATGCAGTCTGGCGAAGCGGGTGAGCCCAAGCCACCCATAGGCCCTCCAGGGGGGCCTGGTGGCGACGGCGATCTAGACGGAGACGGCGGCGCGGGGCTGAATGGCCACAATGACCCAACCTGGCGGCCGTTTACTGCCAATCAAAAGGACGTGGATTGGATGAGCTTTGGAAGCAACGAAGAACCAAACTTGCTTGACATGCCGAGCGTCCAGACACTCCGAGAATGGAAGCAACATTGCATGAGCGGTAGCTGGATCATGGCATGATATACATGTGGCGCAGACATGGGTCACTGAAGCCATGTGGCCTGATGATGTGCCGGGGGAAAATCTCAGAGACTCCAGGGCATTGATGCGCTTTGATATGATGATCGCTACAAATCAGCTTGAGAAGTTTGCAAAGATGAAGCGTAACCAACGTCTGTCAGTACAGCGTACTCATGTCTTTTCTCAAATAAATCGCATGGAGCATTCGCGCCAAATAGAGGGGCGCCCCCTCGCGGGCCGAGAAATGATGCGAGCGATCTGCGTTGGTGTTCTGTCAGGTCGGAGAGTGAGCAACGCTGGATATGCCGTGACCTCTTCAAATTGACCATTGATCGACGCAAGCCCAATCAGGACTTGTACCATTCCTATATAGTGAATGGACGGAGCGGTGCCGAGAATTGCACGGTGCTAAGGAACCGTCGGATGAAATGAAGGCTTCCATGCATGCGCACTTCTACGAACAGAGTAGACAGTTCCCGAGGCTTGAGTATGCCATGCAGTGGTGCGAATTCTTTACGCTTCGCGTATCCCCACCAGCCCATCTCAAAACAGCAACTCTTGCGAAGCATGCCGACAGTCGTGTTTTTCAGGCGTGCTTCCGCCTGCCCCCGCATATCTCCCCTGTTCCTCCTTCCTCCCGCCCCCTTGTACATCCTCCTTGTGGTGGGGGCGGGAGAAGGGCGAGGCGGAGGAGGAGGGGGAGAAAACGCTCCTCGTGGTTTGAGTCGTCTGGGGTTTCTCGCCCTGGTGTGAGTCGTTCGGCCCTTCTTCCTGGTGTGAGTCGTTCGGGTTGTTCGTGGTGTGAGTCGTTCGGGCTCTTCGTCCTGGTGTGAGTCGTTCGGGCTTCTCGTGGTGTGAGTTGTTCGGGCCCCTCATCCTGGTGTGAGTCGTTCGGGCCCCTCCTCCTGGTGTGAGTCGTTCGGGCTCCTCGTGGTGTGAGTCGTTCGGGGCCCTCGTCGTGGTGTGAGTCGTTCGGGCTCCTCGTGGTGTGAGTCGTTCGGGGCGCCTCGTCC